ATTTATTACATATAATTATTGGGTTCTACATGTATGTTTTGACTGAATATGACTCTTTATGCCTTTGTATGAACTGAATGTGATTTTCTGGTTGGGGCAACAGTCCCCTCTGGCCCCCCTCTGGGGGAGCCACTGCGGTGGCAGAAAGAGACAGAGAGACGTAAACAGAGATAGAGACAAAGAAAGAAAGAAAGAAAAGAGGAAAAAAATAAATAGAAAATTATTTAAAGTGTTGCCCGCCTGTTGGTCGTTGCCATGCCGACCAAGTCCTGGGCGAGAAACGTTTGTGACCCTCTCCTCGGAGACGACTGAAAGTTTAATGTCGGATGAAATTGAATGTCACGGCGAGTCTGAGATGGTTCCCATAGCGACACTCGCATTCAGCCGAGGAACTGGGTTCAACTCGAACCTCAAACCCAAAGCAGTTAAACCAGTTACTGCAGCAGTTTCACTGGTTCACACTCGGTCCAACGTTTGTTCTGGATTCCCGTTACGTTCGTCTTTACTGAGAGCGGCTCAGAGGACAGGTGGGTTCTGGAGGCGCGCCGAGTCTCAGGCGGTTCAGCTGGAGCTAGTAAACCCGACGGCCCGTAAAAACCGGTGCAGGAGTTCGTCCTTTAAAATCAGCTTTAAGCAAAAGCTTGTCTGCATCAGCAAAGGACTATTCTCAGATTTAACTACAAACATTTTGTTGGTGAGTTAAACTTTACCTAGAGGCTAAAAAATCTGAATCAGAGCTTAAAACCACAAAGTGTTAGAAAATAATGCTTATTAAGTTTATATTTAATGTTACATTTAATGGCTGAAAATACCAACAACACTGGAGACAGTTTTTGTTTACATTCCTGCTCTCCCATTCTTGTTAAAAACAATAGAAGAAATAATAGCACCATTTTTCTTCGTGTAGCATCAAGTCAGCATCTGATTGGCTGATCAGTTCTGCATGACGGCTCCTCCCCCAGGTTACAATAACTCTGGGTTTTTCATTATAGCTTAGAGTTGTTTTGAGACATTTTGTTCAATTAGTTTTAATTACTTTTTAGTGTATTTGCTGCTATTCATTAGATCAGTGGTTCTTAACCTTTTCTGAGGCACCGAACCCCCCAGTTTCATACGCGCATTCACAGAACCCTTCTTATTCCTTCCCCCCCGCAGACACACAAAATACTTTACGGTATTCTGATTCAGTAATGTAATTATATTAGCTGCGTTACCACCCCCACGCCACTACAGGCAGCAACCCCGAAAAGATGCGACTAAGGAGCAGATTTAGACTACAGAATTTGGTAAAAACTGAGTTTTACTGAAGTAATTAAAGACATAAGTTCAAATCCATGCTGAGAGTGGAGCTCCTTCAATCAGTGCTCCACCGCTCCACAGCTCTGATTGGCTCAGCAATGTAACGTGATCCTCTGCAGCAAGTGATGGCAAAGCGGGGCGTCATCTCGACTTTAAACAAGTGCGTCTTTACCTCCGCGGCAGAGGCTCCGCCAAACCCCTGGGGTTCATCGAACCCAGGTTAAGAACCACTGCATTAGATATTATTAGTTAAATACTATTTAGTTTCACTTTAGTTTTTATTAGTTGTGGTAGTACTTTTCATACTTTGGTTAATTTTGATCAATTCCCACAAGTTTTTAAAGGGGCAGTATTATGTACTCTCCAGGCACATGGTGCCATTTGATAGCACAAAAAAGTAACTATGTTAACTTCAGTTGTTATAAAAACAAATATGACTTAAAACAAATTTGACTTTGTAATTTAGCCTTGAAATTGGGCCTCTGTCTCTTTAAAACCTCCCACTGTGAACATTTAGCTTCATCATTCAGAGCCTGGCGGCAAGAAGAAAGAGGGAGAGCAAACAAAGAAAGCTTGAAGAGAGAATAACAGAAAAAGAAAGAAGAAAATGAGAAAANGANAACAGAAAAAAAGAACAAAACACAGGAAAAAAAAGGAAAAAGGAAAGAAAAAGAATATAGAAAAGAGGAAAAGAGAAAAAATAAAATAAATAAAAGGAAAAGAAAACAAAGAAATAAAGAAAAAGAGGAAGACAAAAGAAAGAAAGAAGGGAAATAGAGTTGTCAGTCTGAGCTGCAGTTTTCAGGATGTAAATATCGTGCAGACGGATCATTATGGAGGACAAACATCACAGATAACCTTCTCATGTTTTCCTGTTTTCTCGCGCTGTACAGGGAAACGGTTTCACAGCTCGCTGCGTTCCCATTTGTCGCTGCTGGAGCTTCGCCGCCCTGAGCGGCGGCTGTACATCAGCCGGGCGGTCCACCGCCGCCGCCACTCCCTCACGCTCACGCAGCTCGTTACCTTAATGCAGGTGTGGCGCTGCGGCGCAGCAACAAAGGAGAGAAGACGGAGACTTCTCTCCAATTACACAGAGAAATGGCTGACGGAGTCCTAATTGGCTCTGCGAAGAGAGGGTGTGAGCTGTGGCGGCGGCGACGGGGGGGAAGCTCCCCATGAAGGCCAGCAGGAGGTAGATGAGAGGCAGCGCTGCAGCACTTCCTGATGTCTAGCGTCTCTAGTTTCCCTCTAATGAGGAGCCATCGCTGCCCTTTTGACTTGTTTTACCGTCATCATTTCCATTTTTATGACTATTGTGAGCGGCAGCGTGGGGCTCATGTGATGCAGGTTCCTCCGTGTTTAATAACTGAACTTTATTCCGTCCAGGAAGGGAAAAAAAAAAAAACATCTTTAAAGTTCAAATTATTGCAGCTGAAATCTAGGAAGCGGTCTTTCAAAGCACTAATTCTCATTAAATTAGGCTGAGTGGACATTTTATGACCCCTCCAATCACCAGGCTGCTCTATGTTTACAGTAACGGCGTCACAACTTCCAGGATAATACAGAGAAACATTTCATTTAACACAACTGGGCTGTGTACGTTCTTAATATATTGCTTAATCAGGCTAAGCGATTACTGGTTCTGGTCTTATCGGTATAAAATGTTTATGGTTTTATGGGTTTTATTTCTGGAACTTGTTACTCATTAACTGTTCCACGCTGTGCTCTCCTGCTTTAAAGGCTAATAAACGTAGCCCCAGAGAAGGTCACCACTCCGAGTCACTTTCCTTATATCTGCTCCTTCTGCCACAATGTAAACACAGAATCTGACATTACAGCTAAACCTTTTAATAAAGGAGAAACTACAAGCACTGGACCTTTAACATGTGCAAACACGGTGAATTTTATTAGAGCATTCAATGCCAACGAAAGCTAATATGCTAAATGTAGCTAATTTTAGATTATAGGCTAATAATAGCATAGTTCAGCAGGTTGGAAAACATTAGCCTTGTAGCTAACTGTATATAAGCTGCAGTGTTGGACACAATGAGTTGCTATGCTATTAGTATTAGTGTTTTTCCAGCTGGTATACCAACTAACATTAGCATAGCTTTGCTACTGACACCAACTAACACTCGCATATTAGCATTTTAGAAAATGATAACATATCTCAGCAGGTTAGAAAATATTAGCAGTAAGCCGACATGGTATTATTAGTGTTTATTTTTATAGCTAATATTTTTTGCAGTTGACAGCAGCATTTTATAGGATGACAGCATTTACATAGTAGTCAGGATAGCACAAGTATTTTTTTAAACGCTTGGCTGTTTTAGAAGCAGCAGATCCAAATGGAGAAACAAAGTGTGAATTTTGCACAATAAATTCCCTTTAAATGTGAACTGATTTCAGGCCTAAATCACCAACTAATAATCCATAAGAATTTCTTCTGGATTTTTCAAGTTTAATTTTATACCTGATTATTGTTTTGCACAGCGGATCAGCATTAAGCAGAGCTCCTTTACTGTTCTCCTCAGACTTATTGCCTCCACCGGGTCGATGTTCGGCTCCTTACCAGAACTGATGGGCTGCAGGGCTTCCTGCTCCACCTCCATCTGATGGTAATGGCGGATGCAGACGCGGGTGTCTATCTGGTAGAGCAGGGCGGGGCACAGGTAGGTGAACTCGCTGGGGGAGATGACCGAGTTGGGATGTAGGCCGTAGTAGGTGAGGAGCTGAGTCAGGTTCAAACACTGAGCGGTGGAAAGAGTTCAAATGTAAGAAAACTAACGACTACTTTAGTAATCTAAATAAATCGATTATAGATTATTTTTAACAGAATCTGAACCAGGTGAAGCATTCATCGTTTATCTTGCAAAATACACTTAACAGAAATACTAAATATAGTTTTATTCATAACTGAAAAGCATAGATACATATTATACTGTACTAATGAATTATGGATCATTAAAATGATTTGGTAATGGTGAGTGACATCATCGGTAAGGAAATGAATCATGAAAGAAAACATAATAATATACATAACAAATTACCAACTAATTGAGTAATCAATTAATACTCCAGTTAACAATTAATTGATCAATTCGACCAAACATGGTCAATCGTGATTAATCAATTATTGAAATAATCAACTACTTTTAGTAATCGATTTAATACTCCAGTTAACAATTAACTAAATGAGTTGATTATTTCAATAAGTTATCACAATTTATTTGATTAATCATGACTTGATTTTCTTAATCATCAATCAATTATGATCAGTCATGATTAATCACAATTAATCAAATTAATCATAATATTTGATTAATTACGATTAATTTGATTAAATTAGTTGACAATTGTCAATTAATTTTATTATTTTCAATAATATTTCAATAATTTGATTATTTTAATAATCAACCAATCACGATTGGTGATGATTAATCTGATTAATCGTTTTAGCCCTAAATACCAGAATCTCATCAGCTAAAGTTTTAGGGAATAGAAAGACAAAAGCAGGAGCATCCAAAATGATTTCTGAATAATTAATGATCAATTAATCAATCAGGGTGAGGTCCTACCTCCTCATGCTGGTGC